GGCGGTTTATCGGCCGAATTTCGAAGCCATCCACAAAGCGAAGGTCGAAGCTTGGACTATTTATAGACAGGCGGTTGCTGATGGTCACCGACGCCATCGTTGATGGCAACGACGCAGCCACCGGTGATCGACGACGACGATCGTCGTCGATGGTTGTCGATGCCCGCCGGTGCCAGCTTCGGTGGCGTCGATGGGACTTGATTGAAATTTGCGCCAAAACACGTGGCAGCACCGGCTTGCATGGAAGGATCGGAGCACTTGGTCCCTGCTTCTTCTGCCGCGACCAGCTTCTTCGAGCTCTTCTTCGACGCTTTCGCGTGCCACGGAGCCATGGCGTCCAACGATGACGAGCACGACCAAGGCCAAGGCGCGTGGGAAACGGCGGTCGGTGCGCTTGGCCGATTGTCGACCGGCTCGACTGCATTCGGGAAGGCACTAGCCATTCTGCATTAGCGACCGAGACGCATGCTGCACAGGTCGTTGTGGATTGCCGCCTCGATCGTTGGCTACATGGCGTACATGAGCATCCAGCCGACGCTTCCGGCGTACGAAGGTTGGGATGCCACGACCTTGGCGCGGCTCCAGACAGCGCGCCAGCCCGTGCGGCTCGTCGGGTCGCCCACAAGTACGCGCTGGAACACATCGCACTGGACGCTCGCGCACGTCGTGTCGCGGCTTCCCGCGTCCGTGCAGATGCAATACGCGCCGTCGGGCGTCTTTCGCCACTACGATCCGAATTTGGAGCTCGCGCAGCGCTTTCCGCCCACATCCCAGACACAGACCCATGCGCGGCAGGACGTTCTGGCTCTTCTTGACGGCGCCGATGGCAGCTACTACCTCAACGACGAGCTGCACCGTCTTGCGCCCGACTTGGTGCGGGACGTGCCACTGGCTGGCCTCGTCGCGCCGGACGCAGCCTCCTCGGTCATGGTCAAGCTCTGGCTCGGCGGGCCGCGCGTCGTCGCAAACTTGCACTACGACGCCACCCACAACCTCTTCCACCAGGTCGTCGGCTACAAGCGCTTTCTCCTCTTCCCACCCAGCGCCCACGCGTCCTTGTACCTCTTTTCGCGCCTCCACCCGAACCACCGGCAGTCGCAGCTCGATTTAACGCTGCCACGTCACAAGCTACGCGCAGCCTTTCCCGCCTTTGCTGACGTGGAAGAGACGATGCTTGACGTCGCACTCGCACCCGGCGAGACGCTCTACTTGCCGCCGTTCTGGTTCCATTGCGTGGTCACAACGACGCCGTCGGTCTCGGTCAACGTCTGGACGGACGCCGACGAAGTCCGATTCCTCGCCATCGCCTTGGCCAACCCCGTGCCATACCTAGCCGACCTCGAGGCGTCCGGCCATGTGCACGATCTCAACTCGCACCTCGGCCACCTCCAGCTCTTTGTACGCCTCGTCCTGTCGCGTTCCGTGCTGCGTACCAGTGCAGCACTGCAGCAGTTGGTCGCCAACCAAGACCTGTACTTGCCGCGCGTGCACGTCACCTGCGGTGTCCTCACTGCACCGACGACGACCGAGACGATGCTGCAACCGTACGTCGATGCGCTTGTGGCCGCGTCGTTCGACCACATGGTCGACGTGAGTGCCAAGACGCTGGTCGCGCTGAGCTACGTGGAGGCGCTCGTCGCCCAGTTTATGGCGCCAACGGTCGTCGGTAGCTTCTTGATCCAGTGCATTGTTGCCCCAGAATGATACGGAGCTTCAAGGTGTCTGCAATGGTTTAAAGACATGTAGTTGTCTCCTATGCCCCGTGGTTGCGCGCGTCGAGTTTCGCGATGAATTCGAGGTGCGGGTGGGCCCGCGACGCTTGGTTGGTGTACCATCCGACCGGCAGCGGACTCTGGTCACGCTCAAGAAGCACCGCGTCCCTACACAGAACATGAGACGAGTGAAAGTGGCGCGATTTTGTACCCCGTCACGGAGATCATGTTGTAGACTTGGTTGCGGTAGAGCTGGCTCGACTCGATCGGCACGAGGCGGAAGCTCAGCATCGCATTGCCACCGAGCGCACGGACATGCGCACGGACAACAGCGATGGCTTCGCTGAGGAAGAGGTGGAAGAAGGCGCCGAGGCCACCAAGCTCGCGGACGGTCCAGCTCTCCTTGATAAAGTGCAGCGTGATGCGTCCGAGATAGCTACACCGGTGTTGGATAGGCCACGATAGGAAGAAAGCAGATCGAGTCTTACCGGAGGATCTTGGAACCGGGCACATACGAAAGCGGCGTGAGCTCAATCCACTCGCGCGCACTCGAGCTCTGGTGGAACGGGTTGGGATGCGCATTCGAGAGCGGGCTCATTGGACGGCCTGTCGGCGACCCGACCGAGATGAACGACGACGATGGGCGGTGCTGCTGGATCTGAAGACGCAGCGCCCGGCGCGCCGTCTCGTCCGATTCGTTCTCGTCGTCGTTGTTGCCGTCGCTGGCCGCATGGAACGCATCTTCGTCGTCCTCGGGCACGGGAAAGTTGAGGCTCTGGATGACCACGTCGTCGTCACACGAGTTTTCATGCCCATCGAGCATCGCCATGCCCATGAGAACGACCTCAATCTACGGCCACCGGAAAAAAAATGAGTCGATGGACGCAGGCGTAGAAACGTGCGTACAATGTTCTCGCCTGCGAGGGCGACGCGGGTCTTGAGGCCGCAGACGACGCACGGCGCAAACGCTCGGAGCTTGAAGAGGATGCTACACCATACATGTGCTGAGACAGCGCAAGGCAGCAAGGACGCCGACCTCGCAAAGAGGTTTTTAAACACTTGGGAAAAAAGCACGTTGAGGCGCGTGTCCCGCATGTGCTCCTCGTCCCACTCGACGCGCTTCATGGAGAGGAAGAGGTGGATGTTGCGCCCGGGCGACGACGCGCCGGGAAGCCGGTCCGTGTTGTAGATCGAGACGCCTTCGGGCAGCGGCTGCTCGAGCAAGACCGACATCAAGTCTTCGTCCGTCTCGTCATCAATCTCAAGGACGAACGGGTGCTTGGTATCGCTACAACCGAGCATAATGCTTCGAGACGATTGCAACAGCGGAATGCGAGACGTACCTAAAGCCGTCCGGGTTAAAGTCTTCCTCCGAGTCGGACGACGACGACGACGACGACGACTTGTTGTCCTTGTCGTCGTCGAGGCCGTTGCTCTCGTCGAGGCTCACGTTGCTCGACTGCGGCGTCTTGCGCAGGACCGACGGGTCGGCCTCCGAGTCGCCGCGCGAAAGACGCATGGCGCGGCCCTTGCGCGATCGACGCTTGACCGGCGCGTCGTCTTCAAAGAGCGGGCGCTGCTTCCACGTCGCAAACTCGGGGGCGATCGTGCCCACTGCATCCTTCTTCATCTAATCGAACGCAATTTCTCTCATTCCCCGATCCCTACAAGAAGCTCGTACGGCGGCGCGGTTTTGGTTGCTGAGGCGCTCAATCTGCGACTGCAGCTGCACAAGGCGGCGGTCTTCGTCGTCTTTGACCTACAAAAACCACAAAAAACGTGGGTTGAATGTCATCGTCGTCGTGTATGTACGTCAATGTTGCGCGTAATGCGCAGCACTTGCGGCAGCGGCAGCGCCGGGAGGTACATGCCCGTGCCCGTGATGATGCCAATGACAAACGAGCCGCTAATCTATCCCGCAGAGCAATAATCATCGCGACGCCGACGAATGTCCATACCTGCACTTGGGACTCGAAGCCAAAGAGCGAGTTGACGCCAAGCACACGCATCTTGGCCATGAGCTAGACAGCAACATGGTTTAAATTGTTGAAAATGCAAAAATGCAAATAATGCAAAAAATGCAAAAAATGCAAAGCACACCTGGCGATGGAGCTCGTACTCGAGGAACGGAAGCGCTTCCGAGACGATCGTTGCGTTCACGTCGCCCGCGCCGCGACGACGCTGCCTACCACATGTGTTCTTAGGCGTATACGATGGAAAGGAGGGCTGTACCGGCAGACACGGGCTTGGATAAACGCACCGGACCCGGTGAGCGCCATGCCACTGGGCGGCTCGGTGGACGAAAAGAGCATTTCGGGGACCCACTTGCGACCGCAGATGCCGCAGCGCACCATGCGCATGCTAGAATCCGATTGATCCATACAGGACAGCGCTGGCAGCACGGACACATACTTGGAGAAGGGCGCGAGCGAGCGCGAGTACGGAATGTGGCACACAAAGCACGGCGAGTCTTGGATCGACGGTGCGTTGCCACGGCGGCGCGGGGCCGGCGTCCTACCACACGCGTCATTCATATGGCAGAGGAAGAGGGATCGGACGGGCGAAGGGACGGCGACTGGTCGCTGAGCTCGTCTGTCGATGCCTTGAGGAGCCCACGGTGACGCTTCGGACCGTACTTGACCACCGCGGCGGTGCCGCTAGCGTTTGAAAAGGAATAAAATGAAGTCGATGCGACAAAAGATGGAGTAGTACGTGGCCGAAAGAACGCAAACGTCGTCATGGATCGTGCACGACTCGATGTACCCGACGACGTGCGAGCACTGCAGCGACTGCGCGTGCGACCGGACCTACAACACAAGCTTTCGTCACGGCGCTCGTTGCATTGAAGAGAAAAGGACCTCTTCCCGGAGCTCCATCCACCACGAGTCCCGTGTCTCTTGGTCCACGAGCTTGGTGGCCATGCGACCGAGAAACTTGACGGATCGCGCCGTGACGATCCCGCCAAAGCGCAAGCGAGCGTCGGGCGTAAACGACTTGATCGTCCAGAGTTGGACCTCCTACTCGCATGATATGGCTCTCATCCAAGTGTGCTCAAGTAGGAGGCGTACGTCGTGCGCGCCGAGCTCAAAGTTGTCCTTCTTCGTCTTCCAAAACGCTTTGCGTAGGCTAATGGTCGGTAGACGCGGCGACGAGGACGCAGGTTCGATGGCCGCGAGTGACGGCGACGCCGCCGGGCCCGATGTCGACTCGAGGCTTGGCGTTTGCGCGTCGTCGTTGTTGAGCGATCGCTTTCCATAGAGACCCGAGAGGAGCACATCGACGTCGTGCTCGATCGTGCCCAAGCCAAGACTCGACTGCGACGACGTGGCGACGACGGTCGGTCCGTCCGGCGGCGGCGGCGGGTTCTTCTCGGTCGGCAAGATGAAGCACGCCGTGCCGCACGCGCGCGCGACCATGCCACTGTCGCCTTCGACGTCAAAGAACTGGCGGTAGCCGAGGACAGCGTTGCCGCCGAGCTCCATGGCCTTCTTCCCGACCTACGCAATCGCTTGCATGAGCAGAGAAGCCTCGTCTAGATAGCGTACCATGGTCGAGACTTGGGACGAGAGCTTGTAGAGCAGCATTTGCCGGTACTCGTTGCTCTTGCGTGACGTGCGAAAGCTGTCGCTCCACGAGTACTCGGGGTCGGCGTGCACGACGAGCTCCTCGACAAAGCCGAGCGTCTTGTGCATCGTAAAGATATCCGGGTCGAGCGTCGAGAGTGAGAAGAACTGGACGCCCGCGCTGCTCTCGCGGAACGGGTTGATGTCGCCAAAGTAGTGGAGGCGGATCACGAGGCTCAGCTCACCGCGCACGCCGAGAAGCGTGTCGTAGATCGGGTACCAGCCTTGCACGGAGCAGCCGTCCTTCATGAGGATGCAGTTGAGGTCCACGTACACGGCGCCGATCGTCGCATCCGTCGTGTACACGTCGTGGTCCATGACCTTGAACATGATGGGCTGGCTCTGGAGGACCGCATCGTCGGCCACGTCGAAGCGGAACTCCTCGTCCCAGCGGGGCGTCAGCGACTTGCGCGAGACGCTCGACCGGGCCTCGAACGACGCGAAGGTGATGTCCACATACGCGTCGGCGACCTTGGTCGCGCGGTCGGCCACCGGGAGCCCCCGGGCCTCGACGAGCCGGATCTTGATCGTGCAGGGCATGACCGAAAAAATATGGTGCTCTTCTACCGAGAGATATGGACCAAATTGTGTTCTACTAACGAGGGACCTGGTGGTGAAGCAGGATCGCGCATGGTGGGTTTTGATTGGTCGTGCCAACCGTCGCCACGTGGCACGGCCATCGGGCGTGTATCATGTGGGGGGTAAAGATGAAGCCAGTGAAATCGACGACCCTTTGCCATTTCGTCAGTTGCTGGAAAGACCAAGTGCCATGAACAAGGAAGACCACCCCAAGGACCGCGACGACCTCACGCTCTGCGAGTGCATGCAGGTCGTCAAGCCGTGGCGTGCGACGTCCGACGATGACGTCCTGACCAAGTGGCAACAGGTCGCCAAGATCATGACTGACTACGCTGCGTACCCCGTCAAGATGACCGCGACGGCATGCGAAGCTCGCTGGGAGAAGCTTCGAACGCACAGCAACGACCCATCGTTTGGCAATGACGTCTCCCCAGAGCTCCAGGCCATCGTGCGGGACCTTGTCCGGCAAATGGAAACGAAACGTGGCCCAAGCAACCAACCAAACGCGAAATTGGTCCTCGGTGGTGCTGCGGTCGCTGGCGCGGTCGCTGCTCCGGTGGCGACTACGGCTGTCGTGGCGGGCCTCGGGTTCACATCGGGCGGTATTGCTGCGGGCAGCACTGCTGCCGGCATGATGTCGGCGGCAGCTGTGGCCAACGGCGGCAGTGTCGCGGCGGGCTCGACCGTCGCCGTGCTTCAGTCGGTTGGTGCCGCGGGTCTCGGAGTCGCCGGCGGCGCTGCGGTGGCTGTAGCTGGTGCTGCACTCGCGGTGCCGTTCGCTGGGGCGTTTCTCTGGTACCGTAACTCTCGCAACAACAACGACGACGACACGGATGGTTCGAGCAAGTAGCTCCACTTAGTGCCCCCTCTAAACAACGAGTACAGCAAAACCTTTTGCCGCGGCTCGCTACAGCCAACATGTTGGAAGACCCACCTTGGGGCTGTCGCCACACTCATGACTCGTACAGTCGGTAAAATGTAGAGTGATATGTATAGCTTTTAGCTGTCTCGTAGTAAGTGCAGTATGCAATTTTAACACAACACATGTAGACACGGTTATTGCATCCGTACTAGTTTCATGAGACCCCACGTCTTGAGCCATTGAGCGCATTGGTGAGATGGAGCGCCACTGGCGAATGACCGACCGATTCTAATGACCGACCGATGTCGATTTTTGGCCAATGAACCCGCTGTAAATGGGAGTAGCGGTCATTCATTGGCTGCAATAATAATCATGATTGTATTAATAAAGAAGCCACCAAAATAATAAGCCTGCAGTGCTTTTGATCAGCAATAATATTACTGAACAGTAGAATAATAATTTCCCGCTTGAAGTTGCGGGCTCGAGCAGGAGGAGGCTGGGGCGCGAGCCTTTGGCAAATGACTGCGAGAGCTGACCGAGTGAGATCGCCAGCCTCATAGTAGCTCAACATGCTTCACGCACTCGAAGACATCATTGCCGCGGTTGACCGCCACCTTGTCGGCAAAGAGAAGATTGCCGCAATTGAGCGCAGCTCACCCATGGGCCTCACCCAGCTCAAGCGCTACATCAAGATGAAGAAGGAAACGGGCGCCATCGTTGTTGGCAAGGTCGGCGCCCGGAAGAAGTACGTGGCGGGACGTGCACCGAAGAAAACGGCGGCTGAAAACGGCTTCGAGACGTGCGGCGCCTGGCCGCTGTCTCTCGTGGCCATGGACAAACACGTGGAGAAGCAGAAGGTCAACGGCGTGCGGTCGACCCTCGACATCGAGGCATGGATCAAGGTACAAGACTTCAGCCGCACTGAGGTATTGGTTCTACCTCCGAAGCCTTCGGCACCGAAGGTGCGTGAGCGCAAGCGCGTCCGCATCTCGACATGGCACACGTGCGAAGAGCTACACGCTGCCGCCGCGCGGCCACGGAAGAAAAAAAGTTGGTCACGAGTTACTGTGTCTAACAAATAGAACGTACACGACAATCGAAACAGCTAATTCTGACGCTTTCGCCATGCGTCGACATTTAAATTCCCCACAAATCAAGAATCACGCGACAGCGCGAAGGCCAGAGCTCTAAAATACAGAGCGGGCCTTCTTCTTCGTCGTGATGCCCTCAGATGTCCAATACTGTAGCTGCATTGGTTGCCGAAAAATATCATTTTAAGTGAGGCGCCATTTTCGACAAAAAATCGGTCGGTCAATCGCCACTGTACCTAGTTGCACTGCTCCTCTTAAGGAACACTTGTGCTACCAATGTTACTTTCTGAAGCTTTGTCGCCTGCTTCGTCCCTTCACTATCGACGCGTCGCTTCCATACTGAGCTGGGAAATGACAAAGCTGCTCTGAGTCGAAGTATCTCTGTCGGCCGATAGTCAACTCATTTTTATCAAGTCTGCTCCTGAGGATTCAGTCATTTTTATCAAGTGTGGGGAGAAATGCAGAGCAAGCATTTTTCGATTTGACATTTGACCAACAGACCAACCATGAGCAAGTACTGCGACGATCTCCAACTCTGTGAGAGCATGAAGAATGCCAAGCCGTGGCGTGCGACATCCGTCAACGATACCATGGCCAAGTGGGCCGACGTCGCAGTGAGCTTGATCAAGCTCGCGGCGTGGCCCGCGACGACTGACGCGGCGACGTGCAAGGCGCGCTGGGAGCAGCTGCAAGCGAGAAGCAGCGACCCTCTGTTCGGCGACAGTGTCTCTCCAGAGCTCCAGTCCATCGTGCAGGAGCTTCTCCAGGAAATCGAAAAGGATGCTATCGCAAACAACCAACCGAACGCGAAATTGGTCCTCGGTGGTGCCGCAGTCGCTGGCGCGGTCGCTGCTCCGGTGGCGACCACGGCTGTCGTGGCGGGCCTCGGGTTCACCTCGGGCGGTATTGTCGCGGGCAGCACTGCTGCCGGCATGATGTCGGCGGCAGCTGTGGCCAACGGTGGCGGTGTAGCAGCGGGCTCGACCGTCGCCGTGCTTCAGTCGATTGGTGCAGCGGGTCTCGGAGTCGGTGGCGGCATTGCGGTGGCTGCTATTGGTGTTGCGATCGCGGTGCCGATCGCCGGTGCGTTCCTTTGGTTCCGCAAGCGGCGCAACAACAACAACAACGACAACAACAACGACGACAACGACGACGGTTCAAACAAGTAGGTGCCCACGCACAGTGTGCGCTTCAAACGACGAGCGTCTTTTCTGCAGCCAAGACAGCAGGAAACGTCGTGCTTGCATTCATAATCGTTACATGAGACCCCACGCCTTGAGCGCAATGATGAGGTGGAGCGCCTCGAGTGTGTTGCCAGCGAGCGTTGCAATGTAAAAGCCGATTGCGTGGCCACCAAAGCCCCATGTGTAGCCCACTTGGTGGAGGACGCGACCGAGGCCGTACGTTGCGATCGTCACAAATACCTCGTACGGGAAGATGCGCGCACCGAGAAAGATGGACGCGAGGACGGCGCCGTTGTTCTCGATCATGTGGTGCAGCGACCGGTTCGCGCGGTTGTAGGCGCCAACCGCGCCGTCTTCGATAAGTCCAACCAGGTTCTCGGGCGCGTCCTTCCCGACCGCCTTGTAGTAGAACGGGTTCACGCGCAGGTTGCCCGAGAAGGGCAAGACAATGCGACCCTTGTGCGCCATCGGGTAGCCGTTGACAAACGCGACGAGCCGGCCAAAGACGACGACGGCCGCGCAGGCCCAGTGCAAGTCCGTCGCGACGAGCGCCGCAATGCGCGTCTCATACGCAGCGAGAGCGCCTCGACTGTAGACGCCGTAGTACGCAATGCAAAAGCCCAGAAGCGCAGGCACGACGACCAAGATGGCGGTCACAAAGAGCTGCGGCTTGGCCACGCGCATGACGGGCAGCCCGTTCGGGCCCAGCGGTCGACCACTCATGTGCCAAATGTGGAATGTTGCGATCTTTCAGCAGCGTTCGCAGTGCCCCGGGGTACAAATCTGACGAGGCCATACCGTACGCACCAACCAGCGTACTAGAGTACCGGGTATACAGCACTGGAGCGGGTTTCTACACCGACGCGATAGAACACGCAACATACTACTAGTACAGTAGTATGGTGAATGGCACCAACCCACAAGGTACTAGTACACGTACCCCGGGCTACGCAGTGATCCTGATTTACGAAGACAGGCGGATGTGCTCAGATTGGTAGTGGTACGATCGTCAGGCCGAACGTCCGACACAGAACCAATGAATGAAACTGTGCTGGCTACACCTGAATGGGAGAGCTGAATGGGAGGGGTTAGGCGAACCAGCGTCGTCAGCTGACGTCGTTGGCGCAAAGCAAACTTTAAGTTGATGCAAGCAACGTCAAGTGATTCGTCTGCATACACTACAACTACATGTCCATCACCATGGCGCCTAGAGGAGCTTCTGGCCCTTCAAGAAGACGAGCGCGAGGAGGCCTTCGAGCGTCACTTGCGCAACGAGGCTCAGGCCAAAGCCGGCGCCGTGGCCGCCGTAGCCCGTCGTGTAGCCCACCTGGTGCATGATGCGGCCGAGGCCAAAGACGCACACGCACACGAAGACAGGGAACGCAAA